ATAACAGAGGACGAGCAAAGCAAAAGAACTTGCAGGGAAAACAACATTCAAAAATATCAGGAGAGTCAGAAAGGTCCAAATCCAAAAAGATACAAGTGTCTTCGAAACTGTGAGACCCACTTGTGCGGTATCATGAGGGTTACTGAGCTGGCATGTCACACAGCTCACCTTCTGATGGAGCAGGGAACTGGGCAGGGACAGAGGGGCTGGTAGCACCCGCACCAGCGAGGAGCATGGGCTCCATGCCAGAGGCCACGTGCTAAGAGTCCTCAGATAGACTGTGGCGATGGCTGAGCCGGTCTCACCATCCTCAGAGGCGCAGGGCATGCGGGTGGGAGGGTTCAGCTGGGAAAGGAATGAAATAAAAGGGCTGCCTCCAGCCACACCTGGCCTTCCCCCTCCTGGGGCCCTATCTGACCCTGCGCTTCCTCCTCTAGAACAGGGTTCTTCACTTTGCCTGGTGCCGAGGCCTCCTGGGCAGTCTGATGAGGTCTAAGAAGCGTTCTCAGAGTCCTGTTTTTCAATGTCCACAATAGGATTACAAAGGAAATGAGTTATTTTGAAATACAATCATCAAAATATTTTTAAAGTTGTGATATAGTAATGTGCATCTTTATCAAGAGCTAGCAGCTGAGCCAATAACTACTGTCCTTTTCAGGTAGCAAGACTATCCAGGACATGGTGAGATATGTGCAGCTGTGGGGTGGTGTTGGGTGGTGCGGAAACCTGATTCCGGCTGGGAGCAGAGTGCAGCACTGCAATGGTGTGATGCTCACTTCTCGGGAATTCTAACCTTCCCTAGGAGATGAGTGAACATAAGTGTGTGGGTTTTTCTCCTCATCCGAGTTCACAGACTCCCAAATTCTACTCCCTGAAACTTGAAGGGTCTGTCAACACCGGGACGAGGATCCCACCCTAGGCCAGTCTCGGGCTGTCCTCAGGGGGGAGGGGAATTCTCAAACTAAGCCCCCTCCATCCCCTCAGCAGGGAAAGGGGAGGGAGAGAAAACAAACCAAGGAAACAAAACTACTTTTCCAAATTCCTTTACCTGCAGATAATCCTTTCACTCTATAATTGGAGAATGGCCTAAAAGGTAGGTTCTGTGTTAGAATATGGGGATGAATAGGTTTCAACAACAGGACAAGTGATCACTTTCTAACGTTCATGAGAAGTCGAAGGTGTGCAGCGTGATGGCCCTGGCCAAGGCTGGGAGGGAGGTGCTGGCTGAGGCTGCAAATCCAGGCACAACATCATGAAATGTAGGTTTTCTTTCCCTCCTTCCTAAAAAGGCAAAGCTGTTTCAAAGCGCTTTATGGTCTCTCCAGGTGCCCGCAGCTGGCTTAGCAGGAATTCTGGTTTGGATTTTCTTCTTATCCTGACTGTCATCACTAACTTCTGGCAACCAAGTAAAATGCTTCATCCCGAAGCCCTCCTTGGGGCGTGAGCACTATTCTTGGGATCCAGGATTAGCTTCACCCAACCCAGGATTTCTCAATCTCATGTGGCCATGAGTGGTTTTCCCATTTGATAGGTACTCGTGTTCATCATGGCAACCACAAGACTCCATTGTGATTACTGACCCCCTCGGGCCAAGGCACTCTGGCTCAGGGAGGCCTGCCCTCCATCTTTTCATTGTCAACACAAAGAATACGGGGCACCTGGAGGTCTGTGAGTGCTTGGCTGGCCAGTGGGTTGGCTGATGGGTTGATGACTGAATGAATGAATGTCTGAAAGATGGAAAGAAATGCTGAGTGCAGGTCGCCATGTGTCCCTCTGCCGCGAGCACAGGGAGGAAAGGCCAGCACAGGGAAAGTTTATCATAAACTTCTCAGTGCAAGTCCAGTTCATGTTCCACTTAAACTGAAATAACGGTGCGGCCCTCTCGCTGCAGAAGAGGCAGGCGCGTCCTATCCAAGCATCTGGAGCTCCGAAGCGACAGAGACCAGGTCACTAGTGAGTCAGCAGCATCTCATCTGCAGTCTGTGCATGTTTAATGGGACATCTCAGCAGGTATCACAATTCCTAGCAGATGATAGTAGCTAATAGGAAGGTGACGGGCCAAAACTGGGCATGATCCTAAACAGTTTCTCAATATATAACCTTTAGTGGGTTGGATCACATTTATAGGAGATAATGAAGCAGTAAAAAGTTATTCATAGAGGTACAGATTTAGGAGAAAAATATTAATAGTTGGATTTCAACCCGGTAAGCCTTTAAAGAATGTTTTTTCATCGACCATCTGTTTTAGGATCCTGATCAACTAATTCCACCCACTGCATAATCCCCAAAGCAGAACTAACAAGAAACAACATCTGCTGGTTACAGCAGGGTGACATATAGCATTTTTGTTTTTACAAAACTTGAGTTCAAAAAGAATCTTCAAAATTAAAATTAACATTGAAGGACCTGGACGAGAGCCCACTGCTGCCAGACTATGTTCTTTAAGAACAAACAGAACTTCTTCGCCGAAGACGCCGGGGTTCACTTTTCCTAAACCTGATGGGGCCTAAGTAAGAGCCGACCCTCAAGACTGAACGCTTTTTTCTATTTTCTATTTCTGTCGCCTATTTCTGGGAACAAAAGCTGCTTTGTACCTGAAATTTAAATCAATAGCTCAGGAAGAACAGTTAAAGAATGAATATAATTAGAGAGGCTTTGGGGTTTTAATCACTGTTTCTGTATTTCTTTCAAAATCGAACAGTCCCTTCTATCACAAACTTGTTCAGCTATAGTAGACAAGCTGCCTGGCTGCTCATACCCACACCAGAATCACCACGCCCCGCAAGCTCGCCTTCCAAATACATTTACCTCATGCAATAATGAGGTAAATTTTGGGGGTGCCTACCATCTCAGTTTTCCAGGGGCTGAGGGATTTCTCAGATGCTGGACCTGGGAGAACCCTGGGCGAACTGGGACAGTGTTGGTTACTCTGATGGGTATATGACATTGAGATAAGTGGGGTGTGTGTTTGTGTGTCTATGTGTGTGTGTGTGTGTGTGTGTTGTTAGAAAAGTTATTCTTTATTAAAAACATGATTTAAACAGGATTATTTTTCATTGCTGAATCACTTAATAGCTAGTGTAAATTACTGCATGCAAATCACTTCAAATTCAGTAAATTACTATCACGTGATTGTGCAACTACTCTACATTCTTATTGTACTTGGAATACTTTCAATTTTCTTACTTTAAAAATGCACTTACTACTTTTCTGGAGATGTATATTTTATTTTTATATTTGCTAAAATCAATGAAATGCTTATAAAATAACTGAGTTGGTTATTCTAAGAAAGGTGTTTCCTGCATTTTGCTGTAAATTAGCAAGAGGAACTGTGGTTTGGCTGGTTTCCACCTGTGCGTGTGTTGTGGCCTCTGGTCAGGCATCAAAGCTTCTTGTGGTTGCCGGGCACTGAACTGACCAAGGAGGGGCAGGGACTCACCCTCCACTCGGCTCATCTGCAGACTGAGGTGAACCAGCAGCAAAAGCAGTGAAGAGAGTTCCACTCCATCCTATTTCCTTCCCGTAGACCAGAGGGTCCCTCCACATTCCTTCTCTATCCACTTATCCTCTCGAGATAAAGAGTTGCCCTGGCCGGTTTGGCTCAGTGGATAGAGTGTTGCCCTACGGACTGAAGGGTCCCAGGTTTGATTCCAGTCAAGGGCACATGCCAGGGTTGAGGGCTCAGTCCCAAGTAGGGGGCATGCAGGAGGCAGCCGATCAATGATTCTCTCTCATCACTGATGTTTCTATCTCTCTCTCCCTCTCCCTTCCTCTGAAATCAATAAAAAGTGTAAAAAATTAAGAAGAAGAATTTCCTCTCCCTTCCTCTGAAATCAATAAAAAGTGTAAAAAAATAATAAGAAGAATTTCCAGAGAGAGGGAGAGAGGGAAAGAGAGAGAGAAAGAGAGAGAGAAGAGCTAAGCTACCCAGTAAACACCACCTGGCTGCTTCCCCGCACGCCCACGGCTCCCACCCTGGTCCATGTCACCAGCATCTGGGACCTGGACTGCAACCTGTGCCCTGTCTCCCTTCAGACTGTTCTTACACTAGTCAGGATGATCCTGTTTAAAGTCTAATTGAGTCACTACTCTGCTCAAACTCTTCAAAAACTAATGGTCTCACACAGGGACCATACAATCTCACGTCATTACAAGGGTCTGCCCACCCTTCTCTCTGACCTTGATCTCATGAGTAACATTCAATGAACACTTGCCACCGTCCCTCTCTCCAAGCTGCCTCCGCAGCAGAGCCACCTCTCAGTCACTCTGGCTCAGCCACGTACACACTTGCTTCCATCCTTCCTGCTGCCTCCCTTTGATGTCAAGGTCTGTCCTTCCCGACTCTAGAGCCCCTGCCTCCAAGCTCTTCCAGTTCAGCTTGCTCTCCAGGAATAGCTAGGCATCCTCAAAATTAAGCAGATGCCAGGAATTCCTAGTCCCTCCTATATGGGATTCTAATGACACCAAGTCCACCATTTCAGCCTGGCTTTTAAGGCTACCCAGCCCACACTCCCAACCCGCCCCACCGGATTTCCTCTAAGCAACTGTATTTCCTGTGCTTCCAGGTGCGCACTGCCCCCCGAAGCCCAGCAGATATGTCTGCTGAGGGACAGTCAAGGTGCAGGTTCCTTTGTCGCTGCCTGTGCGCATGCTTCAGAGATTTCCCCATTCCCTCTGTGCCTTGACGCTTCTTTAAATCCCATTTTCGTCTGTCTCTTCCTCTAACAAGGTTTTCTCGGTCACTTCCACTTCCTAATCATTGCTCCTTGCTAACAACGCTGTGACACTTTCACCCGAACGTTAGTCCTTGCTCACGGTTTTCTCTGTAAATACTGTAAACACCTTTTGTGTATCTGCTCCCCCCACAGGGCTTCGGAGCACTTTCTCAAGCCGACTCCTTAGCAGGTGCTGCTAGCAGACTATCCTACACCTACGGGCATTCCCATAAATGCTGTCTGAGTCAAAACGCAGCGGACTGGCACTCATTTACAGCGACTGTTTACAAGTGGTAGTGAAAAGAAAGAAGGAGAAAGCTTAAATGTCAGCTAGTGTTGAAAGTCAGTCACACTTCCCATGATCCGGCCAGCCTGTACCACACGCATGGAGGTTTCCCATGTGTCCTAAGGCGACGTCTGCTTTTCTACCCCCTCTCTGACCCTCGCCACCCAGCGTCCATGGGAAGAGAGCCCAAAGCCATTGGAAGGTGTACAGAGAACATCAAGCTTCACCCAGTCCCACTGCTCACACTCAGTGTCGGATCTGGTCTGAGGCCACCAGATCCACGTTCTTTACACTGACCGCTTACTTACAGCCTCCCTAAGCCAAAGGAGAATTAGTACCTTGGACAATTCCCCCCACAGAGCTGGTAAATTTACTTACCTCGACAATTTAGCAAAGAAGAAACAACAAAAGAAAATGCCCCGGTAAACGTTTCTGCCCCATCACTAGGCTAATAAAAACTCACTGCTTCTTAGAGTATTATACAAAAAATAAAGGATGGAAAATGCTACTTTGAATGAAAAGTTTTGTCTAATATGTCCCCATTTGTATTATTTCTTTTAAAGAACAAACTGAAGCTATCAAACCAGCGAAGACCTTTGGTTAATGAATGAAACGACATGGCGATATTTAACAGTAACTCACAGGATCCGCAGGCCCACAGAGCTCTCGGAAGGTCTTGGCAGGGTTCGTCTGCAGGATCTCCAATGCCACGCAAGGGCCAGAATATATTTCTGTCACCATCTCCTGGAATATGTAATATAAAATATTAAAAATTAAAGTAAAAATTACCTTTGACTTCTTCCCCACCTATACTCTACATGCCAGGCAGTTCCCAAATTTTGTCCACTTTCCCAACAAAAGTGTCTGTGTTCCCTCATCTCCGTTCCTACCACTGCCACCGCGTGAATGTAATCCTGGACACGTTCACTATCTGAAATCATTTTCTAGGACAACCTCCTTTCAAAGGGTCTCTCCTCGTGAGCACAGTACTGTCGAAAGCACCTCTGGAGAAATAAATGCCAAAGCGCTCCTTCCAAAGACATGAGAAACAGCAGGGAGAGGTTTATCTCCTCATTAAACACCTGGAAAACAGACCCTCTATGGAGCCACAGTCAGACACTGGGTGAAGGGCAGGCCAGTGGTCCCGGGAGAAGGGAAGCGAGCGAGGTGAGCTTGCGACTGCCCAGCTCCCTGCCTGGAGGCCTTTTCCAGACAGTGGGACAGGGCGAGGAGACAGAGCCCAACATTCTCAATGGTCCAGGAGACAAAGACGGTGCATGGACTGGACTCGCGGGATGGACTACTAGAGGGGGTGCAGGAGCCCTGGGAGGGTAACCCCAGGGATCTGCCAAGAACGTCACTTGAATTGTTGGCTAAGAGACTGTGTGTGCAGAGGACACAATCCAAGGCTGAGATAAAGAACTCCCAGAGCATATGTGGAATGATTCAGAGACACACGAAGCTGAGAAGCGTTCATGCTCTACAGGCGGAGTGGCCAGCCCTCATACAAGACCTAGGGTATCAGACAGAGTTCAGGGGGTGTGTGAGCTCAGCAAAGGGGCTAGGGCATCAGGGGCTGAGCCAGACCACAGGGCAGCAGCAGAGACGGGGCCAGACCATGCAGGGCTGGGAGCCCTTGTTGCGGCCCTGCAGGGTTTATGGTACACAATGCCAAAGTAAAATAAGACTTAGTTGTTACAGGACAATATTTCAATATTAATCTGAAAGTAGTCATCATACCAAATAGAAATGTCAGAAGTTGAGAGAGGAGGGAGGGGACGTCATAATTAATATGGTCCCCAGAGCCCTGCCCCTGAGGGCCCCTGACGGTATCCCCCGAAGCCACTCTGCTATACACGAGGTCCTCCGTGACTGATTTTGGTGGATAATTAGGGTGAATCTGAAATCAATAAAAAGTGTAAAAAAATTTCCTGTCTCATGCTCCTGAAGTTCCGCCTGCACTAAATGACAAGAGCCAAATTCTCAGCAGGGGGAGGTGGGGGCATGGACATGCAGGGCTGAGGAAGCCCATGGCTGCGACAGAATGTTCACTCTCAGCCTTGACCACGTGGGCTGAGGAAGGCCCGGGCTCCAGCAGTCCTGGAACCAGCCAGTTTTCCTTGGTGAAGGAAGGTTGAAAGTAAAGGGCCTCGAGAAGGGAGGGGGTGGAGGTCTAGTCTCATTGTCAGGAACAATGAACTTCATGCAAAAAGAAAAGTCAAACTATCTCTGAAATAGCAGGGCTAAGGGGGCAGTGTACCAGCACAATGTGTCTGAGACAATTTGATAGAGAGGGGAAGGAAACTACCTTTGATTAAATGCCTACTATGTGTTATTTTAAGGAACAATCTGGTGTACTTGAATATCGTCATTTGTTTCCAAGGGCCCTTTCTTCCGTCTCAGTCCCATTTTCAGATGACTCCACCCGCATTTGTGTCGTTGAAGTAGCTGGTAAGTACTGCTATGAAGTTATACGATCATGTTAAGATCTACTTGCTTTTAACTTTCTAAAGCATTTGGGACAGTCTCCCACCCTGAGAATATTATAAACTTCACAGATAATGTCAAAATGTGTCAATATCCCAGCAAGGTTTTTCCCCCTTGCATTTTCTGTTTCCCCTGCAGATTTCTGTTTCATAAATGAAACAACATTATATTTTTAAAACTGAACCAGTGGCTCTCAATGGTTGAATACCGCAGTCACTGGGTATCACGGACTGGCAGCTGGCAGAATCCTGTATACTTTAAAGAATACTTTCCTGATTAAAGATTATCCTGAGATTCCCCAGATGTGAGACACACAAACTGTTTTCAGGACGAATGCTTTATGTTTAGTTTGATACTTACGTTATACTCAGACACCACTCCTTTATAAACTTCGTAAAACTCTTCAACATTAGCTCGATCCATGTTGAACTATATTTAAAAAAAAAAAATCCCACAAAACCATAAGTTGACTAAGCAAAGAGAACGAACCGCACTTAAGCACTCAACATTTATGATCTCTTGGATATATTTTCTTTACTTTAAAATGTTAAGTTTATATGAATCAAATACTCTTTGAAGAAGAAAGTGCTATCAGAGGCTAGCTCATCAATAATAAAAATGTGTAACGATTAGAGTGCTCAACATGTCAGCATTGCTCTTGGTCCTGTCCACGCAGCATCTCCTCTGATGCTGCGACCACCCTGCCCTGTGAGGGGTGGTGCCAGCCCCGATTTGCATGAGGCTGAGACTCAGAGGGGCTGTGGAGCCCCACAAACCTGGGTTCCATCCCAGCCTGACCTCACTGGTCATGCTCTTCACCACAGCATTACACCTCTCCGAACAAAACCTCATTCCCAGCACAAGAAAGAGACATACATAATGCATTGGTGTTTGTGGATAAATTAGTGACACAAGAAAAAAAATGTTACTAAAGAAAATTACTTCCAATTTTGTCGAGAAGGCTGAACGTAAGATTTCTCCCAAGCATTCTGCAGGCCCTGGTTAGTCTAGCGCACGGTAAAGCACCTGGAATTCTGCTGCTCTTCAAAAAGGGTTGCAGGTACGCTTACGAGATAAGCCTAAAGACTCATGCCTGCCCAAGCTGCACTCAGATTTAGTTAGAAGTAGAAGTTCATCAAGTTCTAGTGTCTCAAAAACTAAGACCTTAAATGTTTTCCGAAATAGCCTCAGACTTTCCAATTTTATTTCCCACCTCACTCCACTCACTTTGCTTATTGTTGCCAGGACTGACAATTATGGAGAAATTTCTGCCTACTCAGACAATAATTCAAACTAGGGGGATTTATTTTATTAGCAACATAACCATACAGGGAGGGAATTTTGTTTGGTTTCAGGTGTTTTTTTATCCTATGTTCACACAACCTGTACTATTAATATAATAAAGTAGTAACAGAAAATACAATTTATTAAATACCTAGCGATTTGCACTGAAAATTCCACAATTCTTGCAATGAAAATTCTTCCATTAGGTAGGGTTATTTCATTTAATCTACTTAGGTAGACAATAATGGTCTCCTTGCTTAGCTGATAAAACTGAAGATAAGAATATTTGAGCCCTGGCTGTGTTACTAAGGGTTAGAGTGTTGGCTCACACACTGAAGGGCCATGGGTTCAATTCCCAGTCAAGGGCATGTACCTGGGTTGCAGGTCCAATCCCCTATGGGAGGCAACTGACGGATGTGTCCCTTTCACACTGCCCCCTCCCTCCACCCCCCCTCCTCTTCTCTCTCCTTCCCTTCAGCTCTGTCTAAAAAGCAATGAAAAAAATACCCTCAGGTGAGAATTAAAAAAAAAAAAAAAAAAAAAAAAAAAAGTTTCATCTCTGCCCCTTGCCA